GTTGACTGTATGTTATCAATGAATAAAGAATATCATTTAATCAAGCTAAGTACTCCATATTCTCTCAATATTGCTGTCTGATTCAGTCAGTAATGTTTTCAACCAACCAAAATAAAAATAGGAACTTAAAAGAAAAATATCATTAACATAAAATGTAAAAAGTGATCCAAAGTAATTTAACCTACTTTCTACAGAGTTCTTTATTTAAATTAAATATTAAAAAAGGAGCCTTACCAGTAAATGTAAAACCATATATTTGCCTATGCAGACCCACAGTGTAGGGATTTTGTGGCATGCCTAACAAGCCATAGAGTAAAAACTAATTCAGCTACTCCTCTGAAGCCAGGAGTAAAACCATTAGGGGAGGTCTACACAGTCTATAATCTGACCATTCCACAACCAAATATTTTAAGAAGCCTCATTCCTCGTCTAACTCTTCAGAATGAAACAGAGCTGGTTAGTGTGGATTTGCACATACACTACTGCATTTAAACATAACCTTCTTTTTTTTATCATGAACTGCCTCTATAGACTTTCCCTATGCATAAAACTTTGCAGCACTATCACAATCCCAGAATTAGGGACAGAGGACTAGCAAAATCAGGCAAGTTACTTTGGAATAGGAATCTTCATTTCTTGGGAGTCTTACTGTATGAAGCATAATCCCCTCCTCCCCTCCCCACCACTTCCTGTCTTGAAAGAGTGAGAAATGAGGACTTGCTAACAAAGAGCTCAGCTGTGTTAAACTAAATTTTAAGATAGAGATTAATCTATATTTCTCACAAAATATTATTCTTTGTATAAACACAGAATAGACAAACAAAAGATATAGAGAAAAGGAAGATTAAAGTGGAAAATTCTGTGGAGATGCTATTTCTAAGGAAATACAGAACACAGGAACTGCTATACTGGATCAGGTTATAATACTTGTAATGCAGTAACCCATCACCCAAACAGTCAATTACAGATGATTCAGAATAAGGTGAAAGAAAACCCCAGATAGATTATGGCATCTTGCCCCATCCACAGGAAAATTTCTTCCTAGGCCTAGATAGTTAGCAATTGGCTTGTAACTTGAAGAATGAGGGATTATGCCCTTTACATTTTATACCTTCTCATATAGCTATCAATATTTTTATTATTCATAAACACTGATTTTCATATAAACTAAACTATAAGCATATTTTTGGCTTTAATATAGAAATCGCAAGAGAAAGTGTTTCTAAGCCTAATTATCTGCACTAGTCATAAGAAGCAGAATTAATGGATTAGTCTCATTCCATAAGGATTGAAAATAATGTGTTTTTCAGAGCCAATTAGAGTTGACCAAGGAGATATCAGCCATTAGCTACTATCTGTGAAACATCATGGAAGACCAGAGAGATTCTAGAAGATTGAAAAAAGGAAAATATAATGCCCATCTATAAAAAAAGGAAAATAAGGACAATTAGGGAATTATAGATCGGTCAGCTCATCTTCTGTACTTGGAGAAATAATGAAGAAAATTAAAGAATCCATTTGCAAACACCTAGATGATAGTAAGGCAGAGGTGGGCAAGAGGCCGCCAGTGGGCCAGATGCAATCTGCCAAGCCACCACACCCAGACCACGACCACCTTGCTGGAACCTTTAAGTAGAGAGCAGCTCACATGTTTTAAAAAGCCAGCTGCTCTCTTCTCTGGTCAACTGGGAAGGGAAAAGGGAGTCTTTGCATGCTGCCTCTGCGACCCCCTCTCCCCGCCCCCCAGCCAAATCTTTCAGCTCCCATTGGCCAGTTTCCAGCCAATAGGATCTGATAAATTTTCCTGGGGAGCAGGGGTAATGTGAAAATCCTTCGCTCTCTTCCCCACCTCCCCATGCCTGGACAGAAGCCATGTAGAGCAGCGAGCAGCCTGCAGCAGAGAGTCTGCCTAAGATTCCTGCAGGGTTGCCAGATGGGAGCTGCCTAGGTAAGTACCTCTCAGCCAGAGCTTGCCTCTGGTACCCCATCCCTTTTCTCCCCTCTGACTACCTGCCCCAGGCCACCACCAAAACCCTCTGTACCCCTTTCTCCTGCATTTCCCAGATCACAACTCCCTCTCAAACCCTGCATCCCCTTCTACACCACTCCTACAGGCCAGAACCCTCTCCAGCACCTATACCCACTCCTGGACCATACACCTTAAGCTCTTGCCCCCAGATCACAACCCCCTCCTGCACCCAAACTCCCCCTCAGACACCTCACCACCTCCTTCACCCCCGTCCATACCCCAACCTCCATCCCAGACCGCATGCCCCCTCCATAGAAGTTCAGCCCTTGACCACTTGCCAAAATCTTGGAGTTCCTCCCCGTTAAAAATTATTGCCCACTGCTGTAGTAAGATGATAAACAACAGTCAAAATGGATTTGCCAAGAACAAATTATGTCAAATCAACCTGATAGCTTTCTTTGACAGGATAATAAGTCTTGTGGATAAGGGGGAAAACAGTACTAGAACCGAGTAAGGCATGAGATATAGTCTTGCATGACCGTCTAACGAACTAGGGAAACAGAACCAAGATGAAGCTACTATAAATTGGATGGTTGGATAACAGTTCCAAGAGATTAATCATGAATGATTCACAGTCACGCTGGAAGGGTATACCAAGTAGGGTTTGGCAGGGGTCAATTTTAGGACCAGTTCTGTTCAATATCTTCATCAGTGATTAAGATAATGGCATAGTGTGTGCACTTATGGAATCTGTGGATGATAGTACAATGGGAGAGGATACAAGTGCTTTGGACGACAGGATTATGATTCAAAATAATCTGGACAAATTGGAGAAACGGTCTGAGGTAAACAGGATGAAATTCAATAAGGACAAATGCAAAATACTCCACTTAGGAAGGAATAATCAGCTTCACATATACAACATGGAAAATGACCTCCTAGGAAGGAGAACTGCAGAAAGGGATCTAGGGTTCACAAGGTACATATGAGTCAACAAGGTCACTATTAAAAAAACAAAAAACAAAAACAAGTGTCAATGTGGGATGTATTAACAGGAACATTGTAAGACAGAAAAAGTAATTATTTCATTCTACTTTGTACTGATTATGCCTCAACTAAAGAATTGTGTCCAGGTCTGCTCACCACATTTCAGGAAAATGTGGAAGTTTCCAGAGAAGAGCAAATGATGAAGACCTATGAGGAAAGACTGAAAAACTCTGCTTTTAGTCTGGAATAGAGACGATTGAAAGGGGACATAACAGTTTTGAGAACATAAAAGGTTGTTACGAGAAAGAAAAATGATTCTCCTTCAACTCTATTGATAGGATAAGGCGCAATGGACTTAAGCTGCAGCCAAGGAGGTTTAGGTTGGTCATTAAGAAAAAAAACCTTCCTGTTAGGGTGGTTAACCATTGGAATTAATTGCCTAGGGAGGATGCAGAACCTCTATCACAGTCTAATCTTCTCAAAAATCTCCAAAACCTTTCAAGGCTGGTCTCAATGGTGCTTTGTCATACCATAAGTGCAGGGGACTGGACTTGATAACCTCTTGAAGTTCCTTCAAGTTCTATTATTATATGATTAAAATGTAAAAATTGTTCAGAATTAAGCAGCAGTTTCATTGAGCTTCATGAGAACTTAAGAACATATGAATAGCCATACTGGATCAAACCAAATGTCCATCTAGCCTAGCAGCCATTATCCTGACAGTGGTCAATGCCCAGTGCCAAAGAGAGAGTGAACAGAACAGGTAATCATAAAGTGATCTGTCCCCTGCTGCCTATTTCCAGCTTCTGACAAACAGAAGCAAGGGATACCATTGTTGCCCATCCTGGCTAACAGCCAGTGATGGACCTAGTCTCCATGAATTTATCTAGTTCTTTTTTGAATCCTGGTTTTCACAACATCCTCTGGCAAGGAGTTCTACAGGTTGACTATGTACTGTGTAAAGAAATACTTTTGTTTATTTTAAACCTGCTTCTGAGCATCCTCATCACTTTTTTGAAAACTTGCCTTAATTATGAATCTTAAGTGTATTTTTTACTTTGGCATACATCTTGTCTGGTATAATTTGATAGAAAAAAATGTCTGCTTTCAGTTCTGTTTTTGTTCCTATCTATCCGAATTGTACTCGGTGTGTGCACTCATGCATGCTAAAATGATTCTTCCTATTAGACTTTTTGAGTACAGTATCGTTTCAGAGCAGTAAACAAATCTATCATAATCCTGCTCAAAAAGGAAAGGTTAAAATGTTTTTAAATCAAGTGTAAGAGAAAAGACTTGTACATATAGCTCATGAGATATTTTAAAGTCTCACTGTATATACCAGGACTACTCTTTGGAAGCTCCAGTGGCCGCAATGATACATGAAGCACATGCCAAGAGCCACAACTTTAGTATGATTGCATATACATATGCAAATATATGCAACCAGCTTCTTTCACACTGATAGGCATAAATACAAAGCACTTCCCACAACACCCTGGCACTCCTGGCACCTCCTCCCTGGAGGCTAGAAATGCTGACACCCCGTACCCATCGGTTCCAGCCAGCTTGTCCTCTTGAGTCTTTCAATGCTCACCTATCTATGAAACGCCTTGCCATTGTGGAGCATGTTCCCTGTGGAGGCCATTTTAAAAGGATCCCACCAGCAGGCCACGTTGAGGATCATTGTTTTTACACAATCATTTTACAAATGTCACACCAACTGTTAGAGTTTAATTGCATCTTAGTTTATTTTAATCTGTTAATTTAAATTCTATATTTTGTATGTACATAGTACCTGACTTCTAAGGGACAGAACATAATTGCAATTTCTATGGTGAGTTTTTTCCTGACCCAAACACACATTATACACTCAAGAATACTTCCAAAGAAACCATAATTTAGTAAAACTTTCAAAAAGCTGGATGTGGTTTATATTTCATCAAGAACATTTCACAAGGCTCTATTCAAGCAATCACAAAACAGATGCATTAAAACATAATTGGAAAGTTTTTTTAAAAAATTGAAAAACAAGTTAAATTATTACCTTATAGCCAGGTCCTAACTGATGTATTGCAAATATCTGTGCTGGATTAAGTGCTTCGGTGAACACATATACTGCTCCAAGTTGACCACAAAACACTCTATTTGCATCAGCTGTCTCTGAAGACCCAAGAAAACATTTATCATAGCTCTGTATTTAAAAAAAAAAGAAAATGTAATGAATTTAAAATACACAGTAGTTATTCAAAGAAACAGTCCTTGTTTCTTTTCACCAACAAAAACTACCTTATTATTGAATAAAGTAATATCAAGAAAAGAAAATAACTAATTAGTGAAACCCTCTCTGGAGCTGGTAGTTCCTGTCATATTACTCTAAGTCCCAAAGAGACTCCCCTCCTTATTACAGCAGCAGCTCACTAACTGTTTGGCAAGCTTTTGGAAGGGAGCAGGGAGGTTTGGGCCCATTGTAAACATGGGAGGAGAAGGGTTTAAAATATTGTTGCTATTTTATTTATTCTAGTTACTTTTTTTCTTTATCCCTTCTCCTTTGTTCCCTTGTTGTTGTATTGTTAATTTGGGAATTCTAAGTATTTTATTCTTTGCATATTGGATTATTTTATATAGTATAGTCCTGGTACAGTAAACTTCCGATAATCCGGCACCTTTGGGACCCAGGGCGTGCCGGATTATCCAATATGCCGGACTATTGGAAGGGGGGGCTATGAGGGGTCTGGGGTCTGGGTGGTGAAGTTCCCTTGTTGTTGTATTGTTAATTTGGGAATTCTAAGTATTTTATTCTTTGCATATTGGATTATTTTATATAGTATAGTCCTGGTACAGTAAACTTCCGATAATCCGGCACCTTTGGGACCCAGGGCGTGCCGGATTATCCAATATGCCGGACTATTGGAAGGGGGGGCTATGAGGGGTCTGGGGTCTGGGTGGTGAAG